ATATATATATATATTAACAAAAAACGACTCCGACACACATCAATTAACAAACAGATTTACATGCACGTGTATGTGGATTTCATGCCAACTACAAGACTCCAAGGCTCTCTTTCTATCTGTCACTCCAGGACTCCATGTGCCACTTGGCCTAACTGCGTGAGAGGCGATTCCCTGGCCCAACTCACCGCCCAGGGGCTGGTCGTGTGGCTCTTGCGCAAGGTGAAGACCAAAGAGCTCAACAACTCGGGGTGATAGCCTCGAACTCTCGCCGGTGCTCGGTCACTTCGGGCGCTCGGGTTGAAGCCCCGACATCGCTCTGGTGTGGGTGTATCGAAAGCCCCGATCTTCACCCATAACAAGATGGAGCCCACGATCCCGAATGCAAACACGTTCGAAAAGTGCTTGCATGTGTCATGTTTTTTCCGGTCCAGCTCGCTAACGTCGAGGTTCGTCAGCCACATGAGCAGGCAAACAAGATCGAAAATAAAGGGCCAATCATTGTTTGACTCTTGCAGACCGCTCTTGTAGCCACACTTCGACCTTCACCCCCGCTCTCCCCAATTTGCAGCTTCTGTTCCTTCTTGTCCGGGAATCTTTCATGCGACGGCGGAGTGTCACTGTTGGCCAAAAACAAATTAAATTGGACAAGATTTGCAGAGACGACGTCACAGCGCACTTGCGCGCTCTCCAACACAGCCTGTTGCGCCGCCGCCGGACAGGTCATCTCCCACTTCTCTGTAGCAGCTGCCGTCTGGACTGGCCCGTGACCCGCTCGCTGACCGTCACCACTTCTCTGCTGGTCCATGATTATCGGCGACCGCAAAGTGATCCGACAGCTGTATTCCTTCCCACGCCAGTGTCTCGCCAAGGAGGACACTCTTGTGGGTTCGCGCTACATATGTCCAAATGACACTCTTGTAGGACACTCTTGTGGGACACTCTTACGGGACACTCTTGCGGGACACTCTTGTAGGACACTCTTGTAGGACACTCTTGGGACACTCTTTTAGGACACTCTTG